CTATAGTCGTATCTGAACATACTGCTGTTTCGTTAAAATCGTGGTTTCAGTTTATTAATTATTTTATTTATAATCTCTTTACCTGAATAAAAAAACGACCGTTTTCATAAGAGATACAGTAATCCTCCACTAGATGGTTGTACTAACTTAGTATTGAAAATAGTCGAATTACGACCTTTTTCGTTGGGGCAGTCTATAATATAAGCAAATAACTTGGCAATGGGGGTGGGGGGGGAGCGATATACACACATATATTAAATATGCTTCGGCTGTTACTGGGATTGGTGTGCCGCGTATTATGTTTATGTACATTGTACATAAACCGTTCCGACCAAAACTAAATTTAGTTAATTGTCAGATACATATCAGTTATTATTTTTATTTAAGATAATATATATATATATATAAATATTAAATAATTTCTTTTTTGTTTATCAGTGTTTCAAAAACGGTTTTCGGTTTTTGCGTTAGCTTAAGTAGCAACATATTATCCTAAATACGGCTTTGCCTACCACCAAGGAAATGCCACCCCAAGTATATGTGTTGGCCTGTGTTGCCTGTGCCTTCTGCCGGGCCCGGGTCGGACGTTCCACGCATTATTCCGAGACGAGAACTTTGGACTAAGGAAACGGATCCTTAAAAATCCACCCATGACTATTACTGATCGTCTTGTTGATTTCCGAGCGCGAATTAACTAACCGACGGATCATGGTTGTCACGTGCACGTTCTTCCGATTGATTTTAAATTTTTGGCAACGGTATTTCGATTATATCGTCGATGAGGTGTCGATGATTTCGAAAACGGGGAAAAAAATAAGCGAGTGTGCCACGCCATCCTTTTCAACAAACGACACGTTTACAGGTACCGCAACGTTAGTCTGAAATAAAAATAATTCTCGTGTTTTGGTTTGTTATTAATTCTATCAACATAAATAACTTTTAGTCCCCTAGACGTTTACAACATACTTAAAATTCAGTCCTGTCGACTCTTTGAATGTTTTTTACAAACAATATTTTAATTGTATAAACAGTATTTTATTAACACGCCTGGTTTACTAGCAGTGATAAATTATTACATATTTTTTACGGGCATAAAAATACTATGAAAGGTAATTTTGGTCGATTAAGGTCGAAATATTAACATATTATTTTTTTACATCATAACTTATAAATATAGGATGGAAAAACGTATTGGATTATTTTAAAAATGAAATATATTCAGAATCATTATTTTATGTTTGATTAACAGTTATTTTACATTTGAAAATATATGCAATACAACTTATTTTCATAATTGCCAATAAATTACATTTTATATTCGCACATAAAATTACATTACGAATTAAACATTTTAAGGTCAAATTAATAATAAATGATGTGGGTATTATAGGACGAGTCTATTTTCAAACTCGTAAAAATATATGTTTTTACAGCTTTATATCAATTGCGCCGAAAATCGCAGGTAAATAAAGAAAAATTATGGGATGGAAAAAAAGTATACATCTATTTCGCCGATCGATATTCGTGTTAATACATTTTGCGATTATCTCATTGACACATATATTGATGAAAATGCAACTTTTCCCCCGTACCTTTGGTCATCGTGTAACATATCAAGCGAAAGAACAACAAATGCCTGTGAAGCATTTCACTCTGCGTTTAACAAATATTTTTATTCACCCGATCCAAATATTTTTGTTTTTTATGAAATTTTAAAAATAATCTATTGCAACAATCATAATACGTGTTCTCTTGGTTATCATAAATAGACAAAACTTTAAATTTATGAAAAAAAAAATAAATGAAAGGAAAAAAATTTATACATTCATGTACAATTAGTAATGATGAATGTATGCACATGACACATCTTATTTCTTTAATAGTAATATTGGCGAGAGAAAAAATCGATATATTTTCTGTTTCGTTCTTCTGTTTTTCTTTGTTGAGGAAAAAGCCGATCATATTTTTCACCGATCCATGATTGATCGTTATACCCCCTCCACCACCATCTCCGCCGCAGCCGTCATTACAATCTTCGGCTGTCGGTTCATTCGATCTAGTCACGGAGTCTCCTATAACGATTTGACTGCCTGTAAAAAACGAGTATCCCTCCGCTATCAATGCTTGTCTGGCCATATCACTTTTATGAGGCTTATTGATTAGTGATTACCGTTAACCCGCGATATTTGAAAACTATAGTGTTTACTTTATTAATAATAGCACGACGTGTTGATATTCATTCGCAAACAAAAAATACAATTTTTAATGTATATAATTATTTTAAAAAGTTGACAAATAACCATGTGAACATCAAAGTTGTCAAATATTTTCGTCAGGCCCAACATATTACTGCGGATGCTTGTGGAGTCAGCTTTAGTACAGTTAAAAAGATTACAACTGAAGATATCAAATGTATAGTTAATGCAAAACCAGAGGACGAGGACAGCCATTCAAATCCTTTATTTACCTCTTCATGGAAAAAGTATAAGTGAGCAAAGTATGGAACAGGCATTGATAATTTTGATGCAGATATAGTACGAAGAACTATTCACGAGTTCTACGACAATCGTGAGTACCCGACTTCTAATGAACTACTGAGTAAGAACAAAGAAAAAACTAATTACAACGGATCAAAGACTTCCATGTGGCGAATTTTAAAGTCTTTACATTTCAAGTACAAAAAATGTAACAATGGTAGGAAATTTCTTATGGAGAGAAACGATATTGTTGCAATGCGCGTTAAGTTTTTAAGAATAATGTGTAATTTATTTATATGAGACCTGGGTTAACCAAAATCATACTCGCTGGTACATATGGCAAAACGAGGCCAGTTCTGAAGGGTTGTATGTCCTTACTGAAAATGGGAGTCGATTGATCATCTGCTATGCCGGGTCAAATAAATTTGAATTTGTGGCAGGTTCAAGATTAGTGTTCCGTTGTCAATCTGATACAAATGTTGACTATCACACTTAAATGAACTCCACAATATTTAAGGAATAGTTCATTCAAATTATGAAGTATTTGGAAGAACCATCTATTATCGTAATGGACAACGCGTCATACCATTCTTCGACATCGGAGAAGTACCAGAAATCCAACACAAAAAAATGTATGTCCAAAAATGGTTAACCAATAAGGATATCGATTTTTCACCATTCGAAACTTTGTGTGAGTTACGTAAACGAGTGAAAGATGTAACACCTAGAGAAAAAAATTATGAGCTTTATGAAATTGCCTTGCAAACGGGACATTTAGTTATAATGTAATGTCATCAGTAATGCCACCATACCATTGGTAATATAATCCCATCGAGCTTATATGGGCATATATTTAAAATATCGTTGCGGAATTGAATACGACTTTCAAAATTGTGGATATTGAAAAACTGGTGCATGAAATCATATATTCAGTAATGGTTGAAGACTGGAAGCATTGTGTCGAACACTGGGAAAAATGATAAAATATCTAAAAAAAATTCAACACGAAAAAAGTATTTTTAATATCTAATCAATCGCGCTTTTGCAATGTTTATCTGACACTGAAGTTCAAATTTTTGGCCACCGGTCGTGCTACAGTCGAGTCTCTAATTTCGTGAAACGCACGGGTATACGTAAGTATACGTATACGTAATCGGTGGTTGGTAGGTTATTGATAATGTACTTCGTCTAATTGAACTGGTTTTATCAAATTCTCGTAATATATTGACGTATCGACCATGGATATTCTCATAGAAGTGTTACTAGTGTTAATGTGCACATGAAAACATTGAAATAAATATTTTATACATTTATTGCCACTCGATTATTTGAATGGTAAAAAATATTTACCGGGTAAATTAAATCAGGGCTTAGATTTAAAAAAAAAATACCGTTTTTCCGTTCTTAGGTATTAAAACGTTATACAATTTTAACGTTTAACGTTATTGTATTTTGAAACGTTATACAGTTTTAATGTTTAATATTACAGTATGTTGAAACGTTATTTAATTTTTTCTGTTTAAGATTATTACATTTTATACGTTATTTTAATTTTTTGCTTTTCATTAAACGTTATCTATATTATATATAAAAGACAAAGAAAGTTTGTATGTCCATTATTAACTTCTTAGTGGTTCAATTTAAAATATGTAAATATGTTTGAATTTATAAAAAAGCTCACTTTGCATCAGACGTAGCACTTTTTCAAATGTTGTAAATTCTTGACGAGAATAAACATTTTACATTTCATAAATTTGTCAATTTATAATTTTGAATATACGCTACCACTGATGCAAAGTACACTTTAATTCAAACATCTTTACTTTTTTTAAATTGAATCACTAGAAATACTTTTATTTTTATCAGTCGCTTAAGTTGTTTTGATGAAAAATTAAAAGGTTTTGCCTGAACTAATGAAACACTATCGATGATTATTTTATAAATTTAAATTTAAACATTACTTGATTTGTTTTAGTCTTTAGTAAAACATAACAAATTAAATTATTTAGATTTCTTTAAAGTCGTTAAATCTTCCCACGAAAAAACTTTTGTAATTTTCTTGAATACAAAATTGGCTATTTTATTAATGATCCATTAACCATTTTAAAAACTGATATTGAATTTTCTTTTTCACAAATAAATAATATTTCGGAAAAGAAAGTAACTGAAAGCATTCATAAATTTAAATTTCAAAAATTAACTAGAAAGTATTAAAAAGTATTTCATATTTAGTACAAAGAAAAACAATTTGATATATTTGAATATATAAAAAAAATTAATTAAAATTTAGGTATACTATGCAATTTATTACAATAGAAAAATGTATTTCATTCAAAATTTGAGGTGTAAAATGTACAAATCGGAAAGTAATTAAATTTTATGAGTATAATTACAGGTCAAAATTACTATAAACCTATCAAGAAATTATTAAGTCATCAGACAAATAACTCATTAACACTGTTTGAACAGTCGAACATTAGTTTACTTAAAAATATTAGAAAAGTCAAAAATATAAATATGAAATCAAGTTTTCTTGCTTTTGATAAAGCTATCAAGTTGTGCATCTAATTCATCTTTGTTTGGCATTTTCTTTTCGTTTTTCCTGTCAACTCTACCGTCACGTCCTCTCGAGTTACCACGAGTACTTCCACGTTTGCTCCGGTTACCTTTTACTCCTATAAAGAAAAGAATTTAAATTATAATTATTATAATTTAATTAAAAATATATAATTAAATATATTCCGTAGTACAAAATAGGAACAAACTAATACGAATACTTCTTATAAGCAATGGTGCTGGTCTTCTGAGACGAGAAGCAAGGTTGGCAACAGTTGACAAATCAGTTGCAAGTTCAATTTTCATAGGGCGACCTTAAATAATTAATAAAATTAATTAACAGTAAAATTATAAAATTATAAAATATTTAAAATACATACCATCAAGTGGTACATTGTTATATTGACTTATTGCTTTTAATGCGGAATTTTTACTGCGAAATACAACATTATTAGTTCCCATAGATCTACCAGATCTATTATAGTGAAGTGTTACAGTTTTCAATGGACCAAACTCATTGAATAGCTCCTGTAAAAAAAAAAAAAAAAAAAATATTAAAACAATATATAATACACAAAAGAATAAAATTATAACATCCAAGCCAACACAAAACATTCATTCACAAGACAAAAGTTAAAATATTCTTAAATCCAAAAATGTATCAAGGAATATACAAGTATAGATAACTTTTTTAAAGTCACACGTTACTTATAAAATAACTTTTTTTTTGTTTTTAATATTTCATGCTTAAAAGCATTTTTCCTAAATAGTAAGTTTCATATTTAATTATAAGTGAATATGGAGGCTTATAAGATTTAAACAATTTAAAAAAAGAACCCTATTAATATGAATATTTATAATGTATTTGATTAAAATAAACTTTGGTTGGTAGTTTCATTGGCTTTTTATAGTGATATTTATTGCCTAATAAATTTATAGAATTATATTATTGTAATTTTAAATTAATAGCAGTATCGTGCGAGCAGCCGTACCTAACGCACGCCTGTTTCGTCGCTCCGTTAATTACCGCTGCGTATCAGTATATATTATAGTATATATATTAAACTTTTTTTTTTGCCTTTTATTCAATTAATCACCAAACGTCTTTAATTCTCGATTAGAATGTGAACCGAGTTCAATTCGTAATAGTTTCAAGTGTCAATTACCTGCTTCGTCGCGTATCAATTACGCCACGCAACAGAGGACGACCTTTGTCCGCGAGATAAACATGCGGAAATCGCCAAAGGTACAAACTAATAATACAAATAATAGTATTACTATCAGCAAAAACAAAACTAATATACAGGATGCTTGCCAAAACAGTCCTTCAAATAAGCCCGATTCAAACAGCATGAATAATGCTAGCCATTCAGCACAAACGAATAAACGTAATCTTTCCAGCTCCTCCAATTCAGCTTCCGAACCATCAACACCGAATCTAAATAAGAATATTATTTTAACAAAACATAAAAAAAAGATTTTTGTTACACGTAACAGATTCGAAGTATTTGCCCAAGACGATTCGTTTGAAACTAATACTAATGAAAATATACCTAACTCTCATCAAACTAATACTAATACTGATGCTGAAACTTTCACTAAACCTCCTCCACCTATATTTGTCAAAGGTGTCGAAGATTATCCCGAACTTTGTACGACCTTAATTGAACTAATTGGTGTAGACAATTTCATGTGCAAGTCTACAACTAACTTATTGAAAATTCAAACCACGGACCCTAGTGCGTACAGGGCATTAATACAATTCCTCAAAACAGAAAAAGCTGAATATCATACTTACCAATTGAATGAGGACAAACCACTACGGGTAGTTATTCGTAACCTTCACTCATCCACGCCTCTAACACTAATAAAAGAGGAGTTAAGAGTTCGGTGTTTTGAGGTAAGGCAAGTTACTAATGTTTTACACAAAGTCAATAAGAACCCCCTTCCACTATTCTTCATCGATCTTGAGCCAACACTGCAGTCTAAAGAAATTTTACAACTTTCATCACTACTTCACTGTAAAATTAAAGTTGAAGAACCATATAAACCAAAACAAATCAGCCAATGTTTCAACTGCCAACAATACGGACACACCAGAGGATACTGTGGATACCATCCTCGTTGTGTTCGTTGTGGAGCGGATCACCAGTCATCTGCATGCCCGAATTCACGAGATGTCCCTCCGAAATGCGTCCACTGTTCCCAAAACCACCCAGCCAACTACAAAGGCTGCTCAATCTACAAAGAACTTCAACGTCGAAAGATACCCAGCGCACCAAGTAATCGAATAGATAATAATTATAAAACTAAGTCCACTAATGTACAAGGTAGCCACCCACCTAATCACGCTCACTCTAATCCACAAACGCAAACTTACGCTCAGGCTACGTCCAACATTCCTGCTAACGACACTTCACCTCCTATCAATGCAACTCATCCTCCTGATTTAAACAAATTAATGTCCAGTTTTCTAGATGAATTTAAAACATTAATTAATCCACTTATAGCTCTATTAACTAAAGTAATTTCCAAGCTCCTCGACAAATAATGGCCAATAATTATAATAATTCCGTCACTGACAACTCGCTCCTAATATTACAATTTAACGCTAATGGTCTCAAAAACCATGTCCATGAATTCGAATCTGTTCTTATTAACAAACGCATTGATATTGCCCTCATTTCCGAGACTCACTTCACAAAATACTCGTATATCCGTATTCCTGGTTATACTTTAGTTAAAACAGATCACCCAGATGGCACAGCGCACGGTGGTGCTGCTATTTTTGTTAAATCCACTATAGAATTTTATCCCTTGCCTAGTTTTCCCCAAGATTTCCTCCAATCTTGTGCTATCAATTTAAAAATAAATAATACTCCAATCACTATTGCTGCTATATACTCACCCCCTAAACATATTGTTACGGACATAAAATTCTCTGACTACTTTAGCACATTCAATAATTACTTTATAATAGGCGGCGATTTTAATGCCAAACACCAGTCGTGGGGGTGCCGAGCGAATAACCCGCGAGGTGTCACCTTGTACAATTTTACCAATCTAAAAAAATTTAAAGTTCTAGCTCCTCCTGATCCAACCTATTGGCCTTCGTCTTCCCGGAAAAACCCTGACATTCTAGATATTTTTGTGACCAAAATTCCAAATAACTTATTTAGCACTACTAAAAATTTACTTGATTTAAATTCCGATCACTCATCAGTGCTCTTAACTCTCAATACTTCCCCTACTTATAAAGAATCTAATAAACTATTTAATAAATTCACAGACCATTCCAAGTTTACTGAACTAGTCGATAAAGAAATACATTTAAACATTAAACTAAAAACTCCCGACGATATAGATTTAGCGATCCACAACCTTACCAATGTTATACAAACTGCAGCCTGGTCAGCTACAAGTACTTTTCTAGCACCTCCCACATCAGATCCATTACCTGTGACAATACGTAACAAAATAGTTGAAAAACGGAGAGCTAGAGCTCTCTTCCAGCGCACTCGGCTCCCTTCCCATAAACTAAATTATAATAACCTGGCCAATTCCTTGAAAAAAAATGCTAGCAAAAATTAAGGCAAATGTTTGGCAAAATCACTTAATGAAGCTTACTCCCAAAGATGGTAGTCTCTGGAGGGAAACCAAACAAATTCTTCGTTATAAATCACCAAATCTCCCTATTAAGAAATCAGATGGCAGCCTTGCCATTTCTGACTTCGAAAAAGCAGAACCCCATTTTTCTCAAACTTTTCAACCTCACGCTGAGATAATTGACAATGAAAATATGAATACGGTAGAAACGTTTCTGAATGCTTCCCTTCCTCTAACTCTCCCTGTCAAGTCATTTACACCAAACGATGTTAAATATGCCATACTAAAATACTCACTAAACAAATCACCGGGCTATGATCGCATTACTGCGGAAGTAGCCAGATCCCTTCCAACTAGAGCTATCGTTCATATCACTCACATATTTAATGCTTCACTTAGACTTTCTTATTTTCCTCTACTTTGGAAATTCTCCACTATAATCTTGTTCCCTAAACCAAATAAACCGCCGGACATTCCATCGTCACATCGACCAATTAGCCTTCTCCCATTTTTCGCTAAAATACTTGAACGATTAATTCTGAAACGTATTATACCTATCATTACTCAAAAGAATATCCTTCCAAATACTCAATTCGGCTTTCGGGCGTCTCACTCAACCACACACCAAGTGCACAGAGTCGTAGATGCTATTTCGTATTCCCTGGAAAAAAAACTTTATTGCAACTGTGTGTTCCTAGACATCGCACAAGCCTTCGATAGGGTGTGGCACGATGGCCTTATATATAAACTTAAGAAATTCCTTCCACCCACTTACTATTTACTTATCAAATCCTATCTAACGGATCGATTTTTTCAAGTTCGCCACGGTTCCGCTCTATCTGATCTAGCTTCTATAAATGCTGGTGTGCCTCAAGGTGGAATCCTATCTCCAATTCTCTATAACATCTTTGCATCTGATCAACCTATTACCCCCAACACATCTGTAGCTGACTTTGCTGATGACAAAGCACTAATATCCATTAACAAAAATCCAATCTTAGCGTCAATAAATCTTCAAACTCACCTTAATGCTATGGAAAAATGGTTTACAAAATGGCGGTTTAAAGTTAACCAGAATAAATCCGTCCACACAACCTTTACCCTAAGACATACTCCTTGTCCTGGTGTTGTCCTATATGGAATTCCAATTCCCTACTCTCCAAAAATCAAATACCTCGGCCTTACGTTAGATCAAAGATTAACGTGGGCTCATCATATCAGAACCAAAAGATTAGCATTGAATCATCGTCTTCGATTACTTAAACCATTATTATCCAATAATAATCACACCTCTCTTAGAACTAAACTGCTTATATATAAAACACTATTGAAACCACTTTGGACCTACGGCCTTCAGCTTTGGGGCAATGCGAAAAAGACAAATATTTTGAAAATCCAAACCTTTCAAAATATCGTGCTTAGAAAACTAACGAATGCTCCACCTTACGTGTCAAATCATACACTTCACACCGACTTGAAACTTAATAAAATAAATGATGAAGCTAAAATCTTTTACAAAAAATTCTATTACCGTCTAAATAATCACCCTAATCAATTAATAAAAAAACTTGGCCACTCCCACAATACCTGGAAATCCTCCGAGACGTCTGAAGCGTAAGTGGTCTAGAGATCTCTTAAATTAAATAAATTATATATTATATATTAAATTAAATTAAAAATAATTAAAAAAAAAAAAATAAATAAATAAATAAATAAAAATAAATAATTATCAAGTTAGTAGATAGTGCTATCAATGGGTGGCTTCTTTCAATAAAACCTCATGATATGTTAACCTTTATCATATTTTCTTATCGTGTCTAGTATGGATACAGATTGTAAATTACTTTTGAATATTAAAAAAAAAAAAAAAAAAAAATTAATAGCTATTGGAATATAAAAACAGCATAGTTAACAAAACTTTTCAAACACCTATCAATATAATTATTTAATTATCATAATATTTGTATAGTTGTATATTTTAAGTTCAAAGCGTAATAATGAAACTACGAATATATTACACGTCATCAATAACAAAACAATTTTTTTTTAGCCCGGAGGGTTTGACCCCCCCCCTCGTATGTACGCCACTGAGTATATCAAGCTTATATCTTTGAAAAAAAAATTCAACATTGTAGGTTTAAAGGATTACAAAATAATTTTATTCCAATGCCTCCTGTAAAATTTCATTTTTGAGGTTTACATCAGTTGGCTTATTAACCGACGTAATATATGCATACGTTATAAACAAGCAACAGTTGATGTAGAAATTACGCGTGTTCGTGCTCGCGTTAATGTTTGTTTGACAATTTAGAATCGTATTACAGTAGCTGTTCCGCGGATATGTTCGATTTCCTTGTTAATCATAAACGCGATATCTATATTACACTTAAGGGAAATAATTTTATTCGTCACTATTTTTTTCTTTTTAATTAATATATGTACTATTTTATTGATTTTTACTCTTCTTTATTGCAATTTAAATAATATTATAACGTGTTAATGTTTAACCATAATCAACCATATAAAGTCACAACTAATTTGCTATCGTGTGTGTACGTCATAAAATGTTATACCTATACGTTATTATTGTCGATGTACATTTTTCGTAAAATCAAAAATCAAATTTCCTAACATGGCACGCTGTTTACGTTTGATTTTGGAGCTGACATTTGCAACCGAATTTATAGTCGGTGTAACAATAAATAAAATTACATCGATAAATTATTAATTATTATAAATCCGTACTGTTGAAAACAGGTGCATTCACCTATCTTTGAAATTTATATTTCTTTTGTTATTTATTGTTCATCTGTACATACAAAATGCAAATGTCAAACCAACCGGAAGATTTATTGCTTTTTAGATTCATTACAATATTTGTATACGTAGTTTTCGTCTCGATATTACCCCCAAAGAATCAATAAAATGAACTCATATGAAACATGGGCTTGTAAGATTTTCGACGCGTGATCGGTTTCGAAATCGGTATGATTTGATTGAGATCAAAATTTACCGCACGGCCGTTAACGAATTATCTATTGAACGCGAACAAAACGAATAAATGTGTTAAATTAAAATACACAAACCATTGCAACCATTACGGTGTTTATTCTGTTTAGACGTAACAATTACGTTATATTCTACGCGTTCGTCCCGAATCACATTTCGGCCTAGATTCCTGTACACAGGAATTTTATTTATTATGCGATACGATCGTATGTGCAGGATTGCAACTGCACCGGTAAAAGTAACGAATAATCTTAAACAACCATTTTGACATTTCTACAGGTAAACACTCGTAACCGTATAATCTGGTCCTTGTTAGTGAAACGGGACTGCATGTGGACACGAACGTACCTGCGTAGAGGTGTATAAATGCATACTCATTTACATTACACGTGTAATAAATTATATTATACTTTAGAATACGTGTATTCATCGAAGATAAAATAGATAATGTTGCTCTAAACGTTGCGCGTTATTATTATTATTATTATTATTATTAATTTTTCTAAAAGAAAATACGATCGTAAGCCGTCGTATTTCATTTCGGTATCAGAAAAAAAAAAAAAACACAATTTACGGCACATACCCGATGCTGTGTAGGAACAACGACTTACTGGTCGTGTTGTCACGCGCTCATTTCCACAACGGATAACCGTCGACGGATTCGTATGATGTAATGTATGCAAACGTAAACACAGCTTAAAACGCTGTTGATAATTGAATTTCTTCGATATGAATCCCCTGGTGAGCGCGTGCACTCTCCATCTTTTCTCATTCGGTTTACCCTTATTTTCTGTCTCCTTCTCTCGTACGCGAACACGCGGGCCATTACAGTATTAAGTCGCTTGTGTGTGTGTATGTCTATGTGTGTGACACCAGAAAACCTCAGCAGGAAGTTTTAAACGTCTGACAGATGTTTCTTTTTCTCCGTGTTGTTATTATTGTTATTATTACATTTTCCCCGTTTCTTTATACGCGTATGCGTGTGTGCACGTGTGCGTGCGTTTCATCTCCGGTGTCCGCCAGGTTACAGAAAGAATGACACTAATAACACGTTGTCGGGTCTTTCATATTATTATTATTATTATTATTATTACAGGCTTACTCGCTTGATATACATTGTGTTAAACGTATTCCCTCTGACAACGACGGCGGCGGTTGTGTAAACAGACGTGCGTGTGTGCATTTACTTTCGCCGGTCCAATACGGTAGGACGCGACTACGACCACGGTAGCGGTACCTCTCGGTATTATTATTATTATTATTATTATTATGTTGTTATGTCAAGAGCCGGCAAGAGTGCCGGAGTTGCGTTCTCTAATTGTCCACTCGACGCGTACTCGAGTGTTTGGACATCAGCCACCGGCTTTGAAATCAAAATAATACTCACCCGTCCTTCAGTGATGGTTTATGTGTTTACAACTCTCCCGTCCGCACTGCTCGCGGGTGGCCCTTTCCGATCCGAAAAGATGAAAGACATTTCGGTTTTATTTATTTATTCCTTGTCCACGAAAAATCCCATAGAAATCTTGTGTACTGTTTACTTTTTTTATTTTTTAATGGTACACTTGACGTATTTTAAAATGTTAACTTTTTTAAAATTTTAAAACCTTAAATAAGCAGTTTTTGTGAATTATCTCATAAAAATGTCTGCAAGAATATCGTTTTTGATCTCTTATCGTTGTAATTGTTATTATACAGCGGGATGCTTCTAATTCAAACACATTTCAACAAAATACCGAAAAACCATTATACTTCAGATCAGAGATGGATAACGTATTTTCTGTGCATTATATATCGGAAAACGTGTTTCACTCGGATTAAATTTACAAGGTAGTACAT